TTATGTATCTCTGATTCCTTTTTAAAGTAGATGCTGAATGCAATGTCAATGCTTCATTTTGTGAAACAGAACAAATGAGAGAGAGAAATTTTGTCATGGAGAACCAGCCTGACACCCCAGCCTAGGTCATTAGCAGAATTGTGGCTTTAGATCCACAGCATCAAGACTCCTGCTTGGCATGTCGGAGTAACTGTTAGCAGTAGCAGGTGCAGTGTGGAGAGGGGGATGAGACCCAGTAGGTCCCACACCATTAATATCACAGGAACACTGGATCTGTTTACACAGATATTTAGGGTGAACTGAGATCATCCTCATCCATATGAGCTTTTGCCTTTCCTTCATGTCTGTTGTTCCCTATCTTGAAGTTCATACCAAAGCCATCTACGCTGTCCTGTTTCTTTTAAGCACAGCACTAAGTTATGTCGCAGAGTCCCTAGGGATTTGGCTGTGCACCGTTTCCCCTACTTGCAGGAGGCGGCTTGAAAGGAGAGCGGGGGTACAGAAGAACCAGAAGTCAAGAGCAGGGGACTTCTGTGATTTCTTTTGTGGGATTTCCTGTGCTCAAGCCCTGAAGTGCAAAGGTGAGATCCAAGCCTGATCACAGAAAAGGGAAGACCTGAAGACAACTTGGGGGGAGGGGTTGATCTCATACCCATAAGTTTAGCAGGTTGGGTTGGGCTGGGCAGCTGCTGGGAGTTGATCTTGGGCATTTAGTGTATGGGTGGTCACCAAGTTCGGGCTTGGGGGTGACTTTTAGGTTGACCCTGCCCATCAGTGTTAACATACCATGGAGACGCAGGATGTCCAGGTTCAGCTCCATGCTGTAAAGGTGAGCGTGCTCTGGTCATTACAAGCTGTTCTGCCTCTAATCTTCCCAATCCCTCCTGCCCCGAGGGGGCTGTCTCTGTCCCCCATTTCCCTATTCCTGGGTGTCTACCTTCTCCCTTTTCTATCTACTTTTTCCCCTGCTCCTTTCCAGCGTCAGGCACAAGATTATAACCCCATTGAACTCCCTATCCCATTCCTCAACCACTTTGCATCCGAGATCAGGCTTCTGCTGCATGGATTGCACAGCGGAGGCAGCGCTCCCTCCTATTAACTCACAGTTGTTGGAGCCACAGTTACAGGGAAAGTCCTGCTCAGCTCTCAGCCCTGGAATGGAGCATGCCCTGGGGTCCTGAGGTCTGCCGGCATGGTACACTCAGCACTTGGTTGTTGGGAGAAGATGAAACGTTCTGAGAACGGACGGAGATTTTCTCAGACTTCAGTCAAATCTACAGAGCACAGGGCAAACTGAGAGGTTGGGTTTCTTTTCCTCAAAGGCTCATTGCTTACTGGGATTTGGGCAGTTTTTCTTTGGAACAGTCAGGCATCGTCTTGAAGAAGAGCCTGACCCACTGCAAAGTTTCAAGTCCTTGCTCCTGAGATGGGGCCCTAGAGCTGCCAAAGAAAATTCTTACAACTAATTAATTTATGTTCAGTCATGCTCTGTCATCTCATTCTTGGAAATAGCTGAAACTCTCCAAGGAAGGATCCTGGGGCAGATGCTCTGCATTGAAAAGATCAGCCCAAATGGTTCACTGTAAATAACTGAAAATGGGGTCTTTTCATGGGAAGTATCAGGCAACCTCCTTAACTCTAGATGTAGCTACCTTCACCCCTGCACTTGCTCCTTCATACTGGGTGAAGGTTGTAGACATGCCGGCATTGCAGGGTTTATTCCTGTGTTGTTCTTTCTCTTAGCTTTCCACAGCTCACCCAAGGGTGCAGGGGCAGCTGTGGGACCCTGATGCTGTTCTCTGTGTTCTTGTTACTGCTGGGGAGAAGGGAAGCTGAAGAATTCAAACGAAAGGCAATTATTTGCACTTCCAGCAAAGGTTACAAGCTCAAGAACTTCCACGGGTGGCGAGCATTTAGTTTGATTGGAAAAGACATTAAATTTGTGTGCAAATCAGCTGCACTGCCCTCTGCAAATTACTCTGATGCTGAAAAAAATGACCACGATTAACACTTGGGATTATCCAGTCCACTCACTTAACACGAGGACACTGCAGAGCCATGGTCATTTACCCATTCACGTTGCCTCTAGCACTGACTCCTTCTGAATCAAGTGTGGGAAGAGAAGTCACTGGGCACGCCTACACTTCACCCTACATCCTCATGCCTGGCAGCTACTTCGCCATAGCAAGGCGCTCTCTTGTTTTAGCGCACCACAATGGTGAAGTAATGGCTAAAACCAACTGTGTGCCATGCGCCCAGTGCAGTGGGGCAGTTACTGCGCTGTGCTTTAGTACTTCCAAAAGGAAGTATTATTGTCTAGCGCAGTAACAATGTCACCTTAGGGCAACATGCAGATGCGCCCACTGAATTGCCCAAGCAGTGAGGAGGCTTTCTGCATGCTGTCTCTAGAGACGCTGAGGACAAAACAATGAACCATGGTATTTTTTTGTTGTTGTTGCACTGTGCATCATTTACAGCTTTATGTGATATACATGGGAGCAGCCCTGGATGAAGGACATTGTTTTTTGCCCCGTGGTGAAATGTTACCAACTTTTGTCACATCCCAGCAGCCATTTAGTTGCTCTCGTGTCTTGCACTGTTGCTTGACAAAGTCGTTGCCTTTAAAGGAAAGAGACACTATTAAAATAGTTGTCATCCAAGTCCTTAGCTCACAAAGAGATTAGGTTTGTTACTAACATATTGGCAAAGTTTTCGTCTTTTTTTAATATAAGGGACCATGAGTGCTCATTGCTAGAATTGGCACCAAGTGCACATGAGATTAAAATGAGCAAACCTTCAAGTGGTGGCTTATTGAGCCAGATATGCCTCTTGATAAGATTTGAGTTGTTCACGTGAAGTTTTTTCCACTGTCTTTTAGCTTGTTTGTAAATGACCTGAAAAGCACATATGTAATAAATCTACATTTGCAGTTATTTTTTGCAAATCCCTAAGCACATTTCAATTGAGCCACATTTATGGTGTTTTTGTAGTATTCTTCTGTGTGTCAGCTTCACGATCTGAGCAACTAAAAATATTTTGTGCAACACTGAAATTGAATTGAAATGCAAAAAAGGAAATAGAACATGTGGCAGACATGCCTGAATTGAAATGTGCTTCAGGATTTCTGGAAAGAAATGCTTATGAGAACACTTTCGCTATCTTTGTGTAATTCTGTATCCTCAGATACTATGGAAGGCTTCAACTAAAAATGTGCTCACTGCAGTATGTTTAATGCACTTTGAAGATCATTTTGTTTTATTAATAGAGTGCAGGTTTAAAGTGCCACATTTTGGTACACTTTACTCCTGTACATTTCCATCAAAATACATCTCAACACAGCCCTCAAGGTAAATATTGTCTTGCTAGTAAATGTTTGGGTCACTGTTTTCTAACTTAATAAAAAATGTTTAAAACAAGAGAGTTGAACAAGTGCACATTACCTCATATAATTACTTTAAACAACTGGACCTTATGGATATAGTTTGGTTGTATCCTGGTTAGCAGAAAATAGTGCCAACGTTAATGTAGAGGCTTATTTGAATCACAAAGTGGGAAACAGTGATTTAAATACCTATTAGTACTGTCAATTTAAATCCATCGGTTCCAAGACCGCACCGAATGTTGGGGCACCTTGGATGTAGCAAGGTGCCCTTCTTCTCGGTTTTTGCAATCCTTGTACAATCAGTCAGTTTTAATCCTGTCTGGTCTTTCATGTTGGTGGTCCAGCTTGTCCTAGGTCTTCCTCTTCTTCTTCGTCTGTCCACAGCACCCTGCAGGATGGTGTTGGTAACGGTACTGGGCCTTCTTGTTGCATGTCCAGACCACTACTGGTTTGGTTTGGTTTGGACAATTTAAATCACTTTGATTGAGATCTGTCTGGCCCTACTTTTGGATGAGATCTGAACAGCCCAAGTCCTGCTTGGCCTGTCTGGGTTCTAACGCTCTAATGGTACTTCTGGTATGTCTAGAGGGTTGCATCAGTGTTGATGGCTTCACCTTGAATTTTGTGGAGTGCTTTATGCTGCTTGGTTGCTGCCCTACTTCCTCTCTGGTGAGAGCTTCTAAAGTGCACTGTTGTCGCATAGTTAACACGCTTTGGGGACCATGCTGCTCAGACTCACTGAAAATGGGAAATACTTTGCGTTCCAGAAACCAAACCAAAAAGATGAGTCGTGGAAGAAGCAAGGCTTATACAGCCAAGCTATGAGATCAATGCAGACTTCCCGGTACATACAAAGAAACACTGTATGGCTCTTACGCAGAGTAGAGTAACAGGTTACAGCCAGAGATTGGGAACCAGTTCTGTTGGGTCCATTCTCCACGCACGTACTGATGCACAAGGTGTCTTTGGCCATTTCGCTCAACTTCCCTGTGCCTGCCTTTACTTATCCATGAAATAAATCAGTAATGTTGCTGCCTCACAGAAATGTTGCAAGCGTTGCTGTGTGCTTTGCCCCTGGTTACGATGCAGAGAGCCCTTAGTATTGTTGTAGTAATATGGAGTGGGGGTGCGCATGGGAAAGCCAGGTCATGAGAGAGGTGGGAGGAAGGTGAGGGAGTCATCAGCGTTTGGTGATGGTGAAGGAAGTGGTCAGAGAAGTTCAGCCTTTCTGACTGGAGCCTGCAAAAATGCAGTGGAAAGAAAATGAGCCCAATCACACATTTGCTACTTAGTCACATCACTGCATCCGTTAGGTTCCCCATCATCAAGGGATGATGGGGAACCTAACGGATGCAGTGATGTGAGTAAGTGGCAGTCGTGTAGCTTGACTAATTTGCTCCCTAGCTAAGGATAGTCTCGTTCCCCAGGAAAGATGCTAGCAGCACCCTCTATTGGTCACTGAAGGAAAATGTTTGTGAAGGCAGCCACCTGCATGACTCCAAACCTCTGGTCTTCCTGGGATGTTATCAAGATCTAAACTTCCTCCAATATTAATGATCTCTGTGTGTGTGTGTGTGTTTTTTTTTTTTTGTTTTTTTTTTTCCCCCTCCCCCTATAGCATTCTCTTTGCGGACATAGAGGGTTTCACCAGTCTGGCCTCCCAGTGCACAGCTCAGGAGCTGGTCATGACGCTGAATGAGCTTTTTGCCAGATTTGATAAGCTTGCAGCTGTAAGTGTTCTATTATAATGCCGATATTTTTTCCTGTTACAAGAATGACACACTATGATGTTTTACTGGATTTCTGTAAATGTTCACTGCCGTAAAAGGCAAGCTATTGCAAGCGTGAAATGAAACTGTACTTTCTCCCCCTTTCTTTGTAGGAGAATCACTGTTTACGTATAAAAATCCTGGGTGATTGTTATTACTGTGTGTCTGGGCTGCCAGAAGCAAGAGCTGACCATGCACATTGCTGTGTTGAAATGGGGATGGATATGATAGAGGCAATCTCGTAAGTACAAAATTCTTCAGGAAAGGTTTCCAAACAACTAACAAATGTATTCTAGAGACACCTTTCTGGCTGGTGTTTCATCACTTAGTACAGGAGGCAGCCATTCCAGCGAACCTTACACTTGGGGACCAGAAAAGAGAGCACAAATTGATGTGACAGACCAAGAGAGAAGCCTGTTTGAACCACAGCCAGCTGCAGTATCAGAAAGGTTTCTCCCAACTGGAATGGCACAGGTCAAACTAGACATGGGAAGTTTCAGCCTCATAGGAGGAATATCCAGCAAGTAACAAGCATGTGAAAACAATGAATGTATCATAGAAATCTGACTGTAAAGTTAATCGGAGTCTAGTCACTCTGCAGCAACACCAGCTACTCTCCCTTTTCTCCTCCAGGTGGGAAAAACACTGCCTGTCAAGAAGTCTGGTAGGCTGGCTAGTGGCTAGTTCTATCTGAGCTTGTGTGGGTAGCCCTAAGCCACAGCATCACAAGCTCAGATGAGAGGCAGAGTAAATAGACTTGTCTGAAGCTTCATGCTGCTGCAGCCAGACTGCTTCTAGCACCTGAGCTATCCTCTAAAGCTAGCTTGGCTCTCCCTACCCTGGGGCGACCAACTCATGGCACACTTCCACAAGAGGCTGTGCAGCCCCGTTTGTTTCATACGCAACAGATATAGCAGGGAGAACAGCACAGAAAAGGCATGGAGGAGAGTAGAGCAATAATCAGGCAGGGGAAGGGGACCAGAGTGGCACTTAGGGAGGGGATGGGACTTACTACTTGGCATGCTGGCCAAAAAGTTTGGTCCCTACTGGTCTATATTCTGTGGTCTGTGGGGTAGATGTACCTGGAGTATGAATGGGGCTGTGGAGGAGGGATAGGTCTTGGAGAAGCTGTGCAAAGAACATACTGTATGCCAGAGATCTACATGTTGAAAAGGCTTCGCATATGCTACCTTGGCAAGTGGTTAGGATCAGGGTACTGAGGGCTGCAGCTGGTTTCACAGCTGGGTCAGGGGCAGAGCACTTGGAGAGAGTAGTCGCCTTGGGGAAGGGGAAGGGAGATCCTGTGCACCCCATCCCTTGCCACAAGTCCTCTATGCAAGGGTATTTGAGTACTCGTGCAGGCTCTCAGTATTTGTCCCTTCCCAAAAGACTGCTCATTGGTGAATAGATAGCGTAAGTCCTCAGACTAAACAACTAACAGCAGGCAATTAAGCTTGCCTGTTCCTTCACTGGTGAACAGCTTGATCCTTCATTGCCTTCCCCTTGTTCACCGCTGCACCAGTGCATAAAGCCTGCAGGTCAGAAAGGAGGTTTTGCAGTCCCTGTGCCCAGATATAAGTAAGGACAAGGCAGAGTGATGGTGAAGTCTGTTTAACATTCAGTAGCTGGTTGTTACCTTAATAACCGCTGAGACATTTTCTCTGTTTCTCAGGGTAGGTGGAAGATGGGGGAGGCAAGGATAGCAAGAACAGAAAGCCATTTATTCTAGATTTAGCAAGGGATAAAATAGTTAAATGCCTTTCATACCAAAGTGGGCACCAGGCTTTAAAGGTTGATGGAGAGCTATTTGTAAACAAAATCGGAGTGCGGTTCAGCCCTACATTTTATTTCAAGGCAGAGTGGGTTGTAGCTGATCAAAGAAGCTAAAGATTCTAGGTGTTACTCAGCTGAGCGGGGGTTTGCGAAGCAATTTGTAAGGGCTACGGAGTCTATCAAGCCACCACCAGTAGGAAGCAAGCCTTTTGTTCTTAAAGATAATGCACCAAGTGTCTTTGTGGTAGGGTCTGTTGGATAAGAAGCTCCCTAACCTGTCACTTATTTCTACTGCTGGAATGAGACCATGCGATTCTTTACCTTTGCCTTGGAAAGCAAGTTATTCACAACTCCTTTCAGTTTGGAGCTCTCATACAGAGCTCCTAGCGTAAAGAAGCAGAGACTCAAATAATGAAAGCACGGATATAATAGCCCGTGCGTTGTGCACTGTACATACAATGAGAAATGTTGTTCTATGCTCCTATTTGAAAGGGGGCTCTTATGTGAAAACTTCGCCTTTCAAATTTGCGTTCCAGGAATGCAATAGATATGTGTGGGCATACATTTGTGACCTTGCTGAAATCCAGATTATGAGAACGTACTGTACCCAGCACAGCAAATAGGTGTCTCTTGGATTTCATCAAGATGAAGTAGAAATTCAGTCCAATTTAACTGAACTGAATGAGAGCAGGGCTGCATGGAGCCTTTACATTCCTGTTTTAATTCCTTTGCTTCCTCAGGAGCTGATCTTGCAAGGACTGAACTCATTTAAACTGAAATCAGTGTGAACTGTGGACACCTGATGCATGATAGGTTGGGGCTCTTATTTGCTATTCCCAGCTTTGATCAGATCTGTTAATATAAAAGGTTACAAATAAATGTCCTTTACCATTCACCAACAAGCTGAGGGAGGGTTCAACTAAGACCCCAAGACAAGCCCCAGGACCCAGGATAAGACCCCAGGATAATGTCAGGTGTTTGCCATTTAGAAATGCATCGGGTATTTCTTTTTAAGCACATTGGGGCAGTGTTCAGATCTGGCTGCTTGTCTAGCACCGGAAATAGCGAGCCTTCAATCCTGGTGGAAATGTCCAAGTGCCATTGCAATGCACCGCACAACATTTTTATGGAACTGCTGTTATTTTCTCACACACGGCGCTTGCCTCTTTCCCCAGAATCAACCCTTTAATTTGGGGTGCATGTATGAAGCAGGGAATCTGGTTTTCTCATTGGAATAGAAACACCCTGCTTTGATTTCTGCTCCACTGCGTAGCACCCACTGCATTACTAATTCAGGCAGCTAACAGAGTCAGTTGCCTTAATGGCTCATTGCTGTTCACTTCAGAGGTGTTAATGATCAGTTCTCACTTTTAATAGTCTTGATGTTCGGCTAACCAAGCTAACCCTTTAAATGGCATTTTGCTGTACTGGTCTCTCTTCCTATTTTACAGCCTTGAAGACTCTTTAGTGCTTTTCAGAATCATAGATTTTGAAAAGTCTTCAACTAGGCTTTCAGCTTCAGTTAAGCAGAAAAGGGAGCATGAGTCATCTGGAGATTAGCCTCTGTCCCTGCTGTACGCAGGCATAACTCTGAATAAACCCTTTTTTTTTCTTCCTTCTGCCTTTCAAAAACAAGGTGCATATTATATTCCAGGGCATGTTGCACACACAAAAATATATAGCATTTGATTCACTGTTGCTGCTAAGCCCGGAGTGCAAGAAGTTGCTGTTTTGGCTGTGTACATGCATTCAAATACTCTGGGACAATTCTCCAAGGTTTGCTGTCCCAGTAAAGAAACTTACCCAGAACTGTGTATACAAACATTTGAATGAGGTCCTGAAGAGAAGAGAGCATGCACGGATCATAGAAAAAGAAGGCTGGGGGGACCTCAGGAGGTCACATCTAGTCCAACCCTCTGCTCAAAGCAGGACCAGCCCCAACTACATCATCCCAGCCAAGGCTTTGTTACATCAGCCTACTCCCCCAGTACCCTTGGGTGCATTGCATCCAGCCCCATGGACTTGTACACGTCCAGCTTTTCTAAATAGTCTATAACCTGTTCTTTCACCACCCAGGGCTGCTTACTTTCTCCCCAAACTGTGCTGCCCAGTGCTCTGCTCTACTCAGAGTGTAGTCTTGATGAGGGTATTGGACACTTTCCACCCACATCCCAATACAACTTCCAGGTGCACAGCTCTTAAGTTCTGCCCTAAAAGGGCAAAGCCTGCAAAGTATTTCAGTGGTCACTTTGGGAGCAAACTGAGTATCCAAGGCTTTGTTAAAATTAGCGTCTGAGTGCGTTTAGCTGACTATTTGCAGCGACTGCAGTAGATGTGGTTCTCTGGTTTAGTGCTAGGACTGCAGCTGCAAACCTGGTTCAGGGTTTCCAACTGCTGTGGGTATTTCACACACGTATCACATTTCATCTGTAGAAGACTTGATGGCTGGTGCCATTCAGACAAATTAAGAGCTCTGAAATCATTTCCTTTTCTCTGTTTGCAACATACTATTACTTTTAATGAGGTTCTGAGAGCTGGCAGGTTATATCCAGCTTTGGTATGGACTCAGAGCCCATTGCTTATTCCTTTCACCACCCCAAAGAATTTTTCCATGAGTTCTGAACTTGCGGCCAAGTCGAGAGTACATGGACTTGCTCCAAGGACACCCCTATCTAATTAGTACTCTGCTTGGCTCGCCAGGCTAGCCTGTCTGTTTTGTGTCGTTAATAGTATTATGAATAAGCAGCACCGCTTGGGTACATTTGAATCATTTCTAGAGAATCATGGATTTTGCATTTTGGGGGTCAAGCTGTGTCACTGGACATGGGCATGTGGTTCTCAGTGACTTCCTTCTTTTCCTGTATCTCTTTTCAGATTGGTCCGGGAGGTGACAGGAGTCAATGTGAATATGAGGGTTGGGATCCACAGTGGGAGAGTTCACTGTGGGGTCTTGGGCCTCCGGAAGTGGCAATTTGATGTGTGGTCTAATGATGTCACACTAGCCAATCACATGGAAGCAGGAGGCAAAGCCGGGTAAGTTTGCTTTACCAAAACTATTGCATCAGTCCCCACGCAGTTTTGCTTTGAACACCTGGGGCCAAAGGGCTATGTTCTAAGTTTCTCTCTATCTTTCTATGTCATTAAAAATTCATTTTAATACAGATCCTGAATTTTACATTTGTTACCTGTGCTGGCTAGATTATTCTCTTCCACCCTACACACAGTAAGTGTGTCAAAGCCCAAGATGGGCGTATTAGAACTGACAAAGAAATTATATCATCTTCTATGTAATTCTAGCGAGTTCTGGATTGACATCATAAGCTAATAGATTTCCATGCAGAGATGAGTAAACAGTCATGGGTAGACATGCAACCTTCTGCTACTATTACATGTGCTGAAGAGCATCCCTGTTTAGATCACTGTTTTATAAGAAATCCAAAATGAACACCCCTGTCCCATAGGGTGAAAGGAACAGTAGCTGCCCCATGAGGTCATTATTCTACTTGCCCTTCTGCATTTCCTATCCTCTACAAGGAAAGAATAAAAAGCCTAATAAAGGCTGTACTGTTTGTTTTGCATATGTGGTTAAGATCCATGCAGTACAAAAAGCTAGAAGGGCTTCAGTATATATGGCATGTTCTCGTGTATACCCATGTCTTGTTTATATGCATGTACCAAAGCCTGGCTTCTGAGCAAACATGCCTGCTATGTGTTAGGGAAAATGAATCAGATGAGCAAATGGATGTTTTACAGGCAAGGAGATGTCTAATAAACCATGGACTCTGTTTCTGTTTTATCTTAAGGCGAATCCATATAACAAAAGCAACTTTGAATTATCTCAATGGAGACTACGAGGTGGAGCTGGGTTTTGGAGGGGAACGCAACGCTTACCTCAAGGAGCATAGTATCGAGACCTTCCTGATTGTACGGTGCAGCCAGAAACGGGTAAGAGCAAAGAGACTGGTTTAGGTGTGTTCACCAGGTAGGCAGACATCCACCAATCCACTGATGAAGCCTGATAACCAGGCTTTTCTGGCCAATGGAAATTCACCAAGAGCAGCATAATCCTGTAAGAGTAAAGGCCCCAAGTTAAAAACTTCCTCTCTCACGCTTTTCTTGGCTTCCCAGCCTAGATGCATGTTTAGGCTGAAGTAGTGAAAGAAGGGGAAGAAGAAGTACCACAGTGACCTTTGCACACTCAGTTTGTATACCAAACCCAGTTTAGCTACATCAAAAAACTTGGCCTTAACCCTTTTTAGTTCAAGGTTCTCTCTTTGAAAGACCCTGAATTGGAGATGAATAAAACCACTGCTGTAGATTTGAAAATCCTTGACTTTCTGAAAAGTCATGGACAAGATTCAGAGTTTAATACTGGTGCTGGCCTCTGGCCCATGAGACAAACCACAGCCTCATTTCAAAACAGCCCCAAACTTTGGGACTTCTCTGCTGATTCAAAAGAGAAGGCTGCCCTTCGATTAAGGCACAGGACTAGCTAGGACACGTGAGATCTATTCCCAGCTCGACTATAGATTTGCTGTCTTGCCTTAATGAAATCTCTTGACCTATCTGTACCTCTGTTACCCCTTTTATCTTCAATCCTATTTCATAAACATGGTTATTGTGAGGTTAAGTGTATTAACGATTGACATGCTTATGTGACCATTCACCAAGTTCTTAGGTGAATGACTACTCTCCCTCTTCAGAAATAGCTTGAAGAGCATCCGTCACCTCTTTTCCTGGGAGAATAGAAACCTCAAATCTCCTTAATGAGCATTGTGCAAAAAATCTCGTAAGAAAATCCATTTTCATCTGTTAAGGGGAGAAGCTAATGTTTTGTATCTACTTATAAAATACATTTTGCTAATGACTGCCAACTCTCAGAAGAGGATTAGAGCTTTCAGGATACAATAATCATATCGTGACATGACATGACTGCCTGTAAGTGACCACACTTAAATGCTTGAAGTGTTTATACTTCAACGTTGCTCAGTGCATTGAGACGGCAGGACACGGGTAGATGCAGAGGGGATGCAGTGGTGTGCCCACACACCCGTGTCTGGCCATGGGGCAGGAGCAGCAGCCCAGGACTAAGTCTTGAAGAAAGTAAGCATTTTCCTCCCCTCCTTCACCTGCTGCTGTCGGAGTCTTGCTGTTCCTGGGACAAGGGAAGCCCCTGTCTTGCTCCAGCTGGGCTAGGCAGGGGCTTGGTTCAGCCAAGGACACTGGAGTAGCGTACAGGTGGGTTCCCCTTCCCTGTGCCTGTTATTGAGCTGGCAGGGACACTCAGGGGGAGCAGGCAGTGAGAGGGAGCGTGCTTGTCCACCACTGCTGCTGGTGTCCGGGGCTGTGTCCAGCTCCCCTCCCCCCTGAGACAGCGGGGACACCAGCAGACTGAGAGAGGAGGGATGGGGATGTGCCTCTGAGCCCAGAGGGAAAGGGACAGGGAGGATACTTATCTTCTTCAGAACTTAAAGTTCCCAGCTGCTGCTCCCCAGGCATGGCCTGCCCTCCTTGGTGCAGAGAAGTGGGGGACAGAGGCTGGGAGCGGGGGAAACAGCCATTCCTGCAGCAATGATTGCTGCTCCCACACCCCCCTTTATCAAATCCCAGATTTATTTCTGATGAGGCAAAACACCCATTTGGTGAAGGGCCTATGCCTGAGGGAGCAGCATGGATTGACTTGTTAAATCTGGAGAACACATTCACCTGTTGCCAGAAGAGGGATGTTGATCCTTCAAAGAGCGTTCAAACCTTCCACTGCTGAGGAGACTGTAGGAGATCTATCAACACCAGTGACCCAATGCACAGTTCACTGATAACTCAGTTTGTGAGGAAGCCTTGCTTTCTGATTAAGGGAGCTCTTCTCAGACTTGGAACTGATCTGGCTTCCATTCCTGGTTCTCTCATATACTTTTTCTGTGACTTTGAATAACTCCCCAGATCTCTCTGGCCAGGTACAGACATTACACTTTTACCAGTATAAGTAATCAGAAACCTGGTTGTACCCGTAACAGAACAGAAGTTTGACACACACAGACTGGTTTAAAAATAGTGAAACCCCATCTAAGATTTGTACCCCCCAACCCCCGCATAACTTGGATTGATTCTGCCTCGGGCTTTTTGAATGCTTCTGTCTAGCCCCTGTGCCTTAGTCCCCCATGCATAACACGGGGATGGCATTTTCAGTCCATCTCTCCTTTGCCTGCCTTACCTACATAGATTGCCAGTTCACTTATGGAGTGCAGTGCAGTGGGGCCTCTTTGCACTGTACTGCTATTGCTAATAGAATTTGCCCCTTGGGATCCAAAAGAATGTAATAGTAGGACTCTCAACGCCCCCATGGGCTAGGAAATTATTAAACCTAGATGGAGAAATTCAGACATTAAGTGACTTTGCAAGGTCACACAGATTAGTGTTCAAGGAAGCCCAGTGTCCTGAAACCCAGTCCTCACAATTCAGATTTCCTTGCTTCTACTCATTTCCAGGAGTTTATTTTTAGGGAATTGTAGCTTTTAGGTTGTAACTGCTTATGAATCTTTCAAAGCTCCATTTCCATATTTTAAACATTTCATTTTAATATAATAAAAAGTTTCCAGCAGTGAAAAGCGTTTTCTCTTTCCTCACCCTCGTCCCACGTAACGTTTGGTTAGAAGATGGAAAAAGGTTTAGTGTTTGAGCTGTTCTTCCATTCCTGCTGTGTTTAACTGCTTACTTGAGTGTGATTTATTTGGTGAGGTTTTTATTTGAGTCTGTTCCAGGAACCTCTATAAAACGTACACTGAATTTAGTAACAGGTTCCTGTGAATCGTGTCTGGGTTCCTGTTGTTCACACGGTGCGTGGCGTTCTATTCGCAAAGCACAATCTGTATTAACAAAACAGATGTGTGGCCCTAGTTACCACTGCCTTTCATTTGAGCTGAAGATGTGAGTCCTTCATGGCAGAGTTCAATGCAAACTCCCCCCACCCTTCACTGCTCAACTAGCATACTTCTATCTGGATCTCCAGGTTACCCTCGAGGACTGTAAGAGAATAGATCTGTTTGTTTCCTTGGCCTTACAGCTGAGACTGCCCACAGTAAGGGCCAGACTTAGCTGTGCTACTTTGAAGTCAGGCAGAAGGTAGGGCAGGGTGGCACCTTAAAGACTAACTGATTCGGGGAGAGACGAGCTTTCTTAGGCAACAGCCTACTTCCTCAGATGTTATGAATGGACTCATAAAAAGAGAGGATTTTTAGTAGAAGCCACCTTCGGGAGCCTGCTTTCAGCCAAGGAGCTGCCTCTGATCTCCCAGCCTCCCAGCTCTGGAGCTGTCTTCAGGAAGGGAGCAGAGAGGAGGAGAGAGCTGCCGGCTGGTATTTGCCCAGTGTGAGCTGGAGGGGTGGGGGGCTAGGGAGGGGCCACCAGTGCACCCACCCCAAACCCCAGATTAATCCTAGGGAACCCAAGTTTCCTAAAGTGCTCTCAAGTGGAGAGCCATCATCTGATCCCTCATTTATCGAGGGTTAATTTGTTGCACAATCAGGCAGTTTAAAAGCACTCTGCAGCCCACAGCACAGCTGTGGAGTGCTTTTAAAGTGGCGATCGCATGACAAATGTAACTTCTGTCTGTGCCCTTTGTTACTTGGGCTCTTATTCTTTGCAAGATTGTGAAGCTCCTGCGGCACCTGGTTTGATGTGATGTATGGTGGTCTTTCATTTCAACTCCACTGTCTGTAAGCTGCCACAAGCGAGCCCGAGCTAGAGTCCTTGTCCAACATCAGTAGCTAGTAGCAGCTTCCAACTGATGGCAGAAGTTCATCCTTTTAGCATTGAAGGCTCCATGCCCCAAGCCTGCTGTTAGCCAAAGGGAGATCAGTTACGTCCACGTGAGGCTTCACAATTATTATTTTGCTAGAAAGCATGTGTTCGTTGATTTCTTGTATTTATAGTGTAGGTAGTGCTTTCCTTTTCAATGGTTTATAACTTCCTGAAAAATTGCATTTTGGAGCTGATATTTCTGCTGCCTGGTATCAGCTTTTTGGAAAGCTTGAATTTCAAACAGGCCTCACAGCTGTGTATTTGGATTAAACCAATCAGTGCATAAACATGTATACCTGGCTTTTGTAGAGGTGCACTCCTGAACCCAGCAATTACTTTGACCTGCAGTGTTTGCTTAGAAGTGTGGTAAGTGAGAGTTCTTTCTCGTGCATTTCTCCCTCTCTTTTACAAAAAGGATATTCAATATAGAAAGCCTTGGGTGAATGCACCCTTATTGTCGAGAATGTAGATGCAAAAAAGCCAGGGAAAATAATAAGCCAGAATTTCAGCTAATTAAGGTGCACAAGTGAGGACCTAATTTACATAGAGTTGCTGTTATGGGAAGTGCAAACCCACCCAACTTGCATATGGAAATGGACCAATTATCTATTTACATGAGTAATTTTCTGGTTCACTCGGGTGCACTTACACTGTCTGCTTATCCAGCTCATAACTCCCACAGCCACGGCAACTCAGCAGTGTCAGGAGTACAGATTAACGCACAAAATTTAACAGCCTTCACTGTGATAGCAATTCTACTTGCTTGTTGCCATGGGGAATCATAACTTTTGAATTCCCTGCCTTTTTGTTTGTTTGACTTTGCAGCCATTAAATGAATTCTTTGCATTAATGTAGCTTTCTCTGGTACTGAATAAATAGGGGGAACATATCTATTTGTATGTCAGAGACCAGCTCTTTCTTTGAAAATAGTTTTATTAAAAGGATGCCATCAACTTGAATTTATTTTAAATTGATTTTCTGAAGAAGTAACTTTTTGATAGAGCAGCTTTTTTTAAAAAAAAAAAAAAAAAAAAAAGAGGAAAGGAAAAGCACCCACAGGATTGAAAAATTACATAGAGAGAGACTTTTTGCTTCCCTTTCAATTGCTGCTGTTTTAAACACTTCCTTGCTGAGGTTTTGCAAAAGCT